CAGCAACTGACCAACTGCTTGTTGCTGACATGCCATTAAAAGTAAACAAAAACAACAATGACCAACCAACCAGCTGAAGGATATGATTTGATTGTTTTTTCTCTCTCTCAATATCCAATGGCAAGCATTTAAGAATAAAATTTTAATATCTATTTGTCATGGAAAATCAGTTGAGACCACGGCGAGGGGTTGTTTTGCTTCTACAGTGTCCGTCTGAGCCTTTGTAGTGTGCCGCCTTCATTTTGATGATGACAACAGTGTCCAGGGGTTAATTTGATTATTATAAGGGAATGCAGTTCAATCTGTGTATATTATATTGTTTTGATAAATAGTATTTTATAAAAGAATAATGTTTTCCCCTGTTTATTTATGATTCAAGAAATATCCTGTTTAATGACATACTTAAGAGTAGTATACTAATGTGAGTGTTAAGGCAATAAAAACTTTTTTTGCATCAAAATCACAATCTGTTATGTCTTTAGTCAGCATTTAGCTAAACTTAACCAGCCACCCTTTACACAAACCTTGTTACATTCACTAAAATGCCCATAAAGATACTAAATGATTATAATCGTTTATAAACATTTACAAATGATGAATAGTTTCAACTTTAGATTGGCTACTGCAAAAACACAAACAAATGATTAATAAATGATTAGTGTGAATAGGGTAAATTCGGGTCTTTCGGGACACTTTTTGCCATTGAGATGACTGCTCATAAAGGTATTAATGATTAGTAGACATTTATAAACATTTGCAAATGATGACTAGTTTCTACTTTAGATTGGGTACTGCAAAAACATGAACCAATAATTAATAGATTATTTGTTAAAATATAGAGGTCATACACATGAAATAGAGGTCTACACAACAAACAAAGACCAACAAATGAAGATTATGAACTGAAAGTTTACTAACATTTGTAAGAATTTCAATTTACATTAAGTAATCATATGTTAACCATTAGGTAATGTTAAGTAAGTTCATTAGTAAACATTAGCAAGAACATTATCTCATATTTCTAGCTATGTGAATATATATTAACTAATGATCTTTTAAGCATTATATAATGTTTGTGAATGATTTATAAATGAAAGTTATTATAAAGTGTTCAATATAAATCAATCTTGATTGAATTAACGTATATTTTCTTAAATTAAAATGCTAAAATAAATGGTATTTTATAGTAAAACGAATCTTTATATAATTGTATAATACAGTACTATTGTGATTGTGACACATCATGGTACGATTCAACATCGTCTAAGCAAAAGCATACTTGTTCGAGAAAGGTGTCTAACTATATAATATATATATTATATATATTTAAATACACTAGAATAAATGATTCCACTCATGTGGAACTTTATTATAAAGCACAAATTACTTTTAGATTTCTGTTACTGACATGACACCATAAATCTAAAACAACCATGTTTTAATGCTAGCTTAACATGAAATAGCTAGCAGTCTATGTGGTGATGTTTGTTTCACTTGAATAAATGATTCCACTCATGTGGAACTTTATTATAAAGCACAAATTACTTTTAGATTTCTGTTACTGACATGACACCATAAATCTAAAACAACCATGTTTTAATGCTAGCTTAACATGAAATAGCTAGCAGTCTATGTGGTGATGTTTGTTTTGTTTAATTTTTGTGAATGCTTATGTACATGTCTATTCTCTCTGTAAAGCACTTTGTAAATAGTTTTAAAAGGTGCTATATAAATAAAGCTTAACTTACTGAGTTCTGTAAAAGGTGCACTATTTTTCTTCTAATTACTAAAGTGTTATACATGAAGAAATTATATATATATATATATATGTGTGTGTGTGTGTGTGTGTGTGTGTGTTTAAAATTGTTTATATGTATTTGTTTTACTTTGATCTGCCATGTTCAGTTCTAAAAAACTAAATGCATACACACCATTAACATCAATATCACCCAACAAAGATGAGACAATACACCCAAAGCACTTTACAATCATGAGGGGCTCTCTCCTCAACCACCACCAGTGTGCAGCATCCACTTGGATGATGCAGCGGCAGCCACAGGACAACGGCACCAGTGCGCTCACCACACACCAGCTACAGGTGGAGAGGAGAGAGAGTCATAGAGCCAATCAAGTGGATGGGGATTATTAGGAGGCCATGATTGACAAAGGCCAGGGGGGCAATTGGGCCAGGAGACCGGGGATACACCCTTCCTCTTTACGAGAAGTGCCATGGGATGACCACAGAGTCAGGACCTCGGTTTAACATCTCATCCGAAAGACGGTGCTTTTTGTCAGTATAGTGTCCCCGTCACTATACTGGGGCAATAGGACCCAAACAGACCACAGGTTGAGCACCCCCTGCTGGCCTCACTAACACCTCTTCCAAAAGCAACTTAGATTTCCCAGGAGGTCTCCCAGCCAGGTACTGACCGGGCTCAACCCTGCTTAGCGTCAGTGGGCAACCAGTCTTGGGCTGCAGCAAACATGCTCATTTCATATAGACATTTAAAGCTAACAAGATGTGCTTTCCCTGTTTCTTACATCTTTTTTAGCATAGTAATTCATTCTGAAGAAGCTCGTATCGTTAGATTAGACATGGCAGGTTGAACTAGGTGGCACATCCTAAGTGGGTAGGCTATATCGTCAGAAAACCGGTTGATGAAACTATCATTGTTGGTTAAATGAAGCTCAACAGCCACCAACAGGCCTATTATGTATATCATGTAAGCCAGGGATGTCCAAACTCGGTCCTGGAGGGCCGGTGTCCTGCAGAGTTTAGCTCCAACTTGCCTCAACACACCTGACTGGAAGTTTCTATGCCTAGTAAGAGCTTGATTAGCTGGTTCAGGTGTGTTTAATGAGGGTTGGAGCTAAACTCTGAGGCACACCGGCGCTCCAGGACCGAGTTTGGACAGCCCTGATGTAAGCAGTTCAAGAACACACTAAGGACTTTATTTTTATAATTATGCACACACACATAGTGTTTAATTGGAATTACTCCATATATAAATGCCACTTTTTTTTTTTACATTTGAGCTCTTGTCCCCAAGGAACTCTCTGCACATTCCTACTTTAAGTACAAGTGTTTCTGTATCTTAAGTTATTTTGAGGCTGGATTCTTTTACTTTTCTGCAGCTTTTGGAGATGTGGAGAACTTTCTCTTCACTAAACTCTCTATTTAAACTTCAACTTTGACTTCTTTATCATGCATATTGGTCTCTTAACGGGGTCAAGGTGTGTCCCCCAACAGTATATTTTGCTCTCTCTTTTTGTCTGTGTGAACCTGATCTTTGGAGAATTTTGGGTAGGGCTGCTATACATTCAGGAGCTGATTTATGGTGTCATTGTCGTATTGAATAACACATTTGGGCAACAGGTTTGATTCAGATTACACTCCCTACAAAAGAATGATTTTACCTTCAAAAGATGAAAGGAAATGGCTGTACTAAAGGAAGTTAGCAGAAGGCAAACCTTAGACTGTAAATAAATAAAGTTACTTGCATTTGGGGTTAAGAGCTGAATCCTGGCAGGAAGCAAGACATGACTGCATTGTTTTCTACAGCAAGTCAGTTTAAGTTAAGGTAGCTCCAAGGGAATTCAATGTTCAGTTAATTTCTAGCAACATCAGGGACATGCGTTTTTCCCCTGGCCATGTGATAGGTAAAACACATTCAATGCTTGATTCCCAACATTATTTAACATCTCCTTTATGACTCATGCAGCTGGACTGTTTTTGTACACAAATTTACATTAAAATTCAAAACAACTATTTTTACTTCCATAATGACTAGAAATCACTTGCTCAGACTTGGTAGTATACCACTCTTACATGTTTGTTGTGTTTCATTTTAGTAAATTTGTATTTTAGTAGGTTTTTTTTTTTTTAACATACCGATCAATCAACAACGGCCACTCATTTCTTGCAAAATGTTAGACAATTCAAATTTCATTCACATTTATTTTGCTTTTAGTGTGCTCACATAAAATTTAGAACACCTTCAGCAGAGAAGTTCAATATCAATTTAGTAAGCAAAGTTACATTCAATCTCTAAGTCAAAGGTAAAAGCTTCGCCAATATTTACAAAAGAAAGAGACAAGATGCTACACAAACATTGCATCTGTTAGGTTCATTAACTTGGTCAAAAGACCACTGAAAAAAGCATCATCTGTTGAAATCAAAAACCACAGTAAAAACAGCAATATGTGTCACAGCTTGGTTTGAGTTAAAAAAAAATGCTCCAATGGTCTGAGGATGACTTACAAAAACAGACTTGGTGATAGAAGAGCTGCATGTGCTTCTTGAGATCAAGATATCATTTGTACAATAATCACAGTTAAAACACCCCTTCTATACATACTTACACTTTAATAAGCTCATAGAACCAGCAATACACCATAAAGCATATGCAAATTGTTTTCCTACTGAATTCAGATGGTTACAGCTAAAAAAAATGTTGTGTTTAAAGTTCCCAGGACCTTTAAAATTGCGGTTTTAAACTTGGCATTGCAAATTAAACTGGCTTGTTATTAGAGAAAAAAAAATCACTTTAGTGTTGTAAACTGTAGTGGATTAATTGTTGGTCATTCTGTTTTTGTACTACTACATGGTAGTCCGTGGTATAATGCGGAGTCATCAAGGTGCCAAAATTTAAAAACTCTCATTCCTATTCCCTGAACCCCGCTTTGACCCCTGAACCAGCTGCCTTTATTTCACAGGCATGTCTATAAAAATGCAAAACTCAAAACAAAAACAAATGAAAAGGTTAATACTGACGCAAAAAAAATATGTGAGACAAATTTGACATTTTCTGTATTATTCAATTTAGCCACCCATTTTCACAGCTCCAAGAATAGCCACAAGGGTAGAGTGAGATTTGGGGAGAGGGGGAAATATAAAAAAGTAAAGACTAAAAAGCTTTAAAATATTCCTTGTTGCAAACAAAGTTCTCCAACGCCTTGGACCACTCCACTGTACAACAGGGAAATATGCCTTGATTATCTTTTTTTTTTTTTGTCCCCCCACCCCCACCCTCTTTATCTTTTGATCAGGACTGTGCATGTTACTCTGTGGCAGATTCTGCGTGGACCTCTGGACTGGATTCTGCTTCTTGAACAGCGGGACCGGATTCCTCTGCTACAGGTGCTTCATTCTTAGAAGGAGTAGGCTCTGTCACCGCTGCTGGCTCTGCGGGTTTCTCCTCCTCTTTGGACTCAGCAGGGGCAGGACTGGCAGCCTTGGGCTCCTCTACTGGTTTGGATTCTGCCTTCTCTTCTGATGCACCTCCTTCAACAGCTTCATCTGCCTCAGTTTTGGCCTCCTCGCCGCCATCTCCATCCCCCGTCTCCTTCTTGGTTTTCTTAAGAGAGAAGCCACTTAACTTGAAGGACTTCTTAAAAGAGAAGCGCTTCTTCTTCTTCTTGGGCGTCTCATTGCTTGTGGATGGAGTTGCGCCTTTCTCTGCTTTTGTGGCCTCCTCTTCAGTGGGTGCACTCACTTCTGTGTTTACTTGATCTCCCTCCACAGCCTCCTTTTCAGCCAGAGCTGCCTCAGCCTTCTCTCCCTCCTCAGCTGCCGCACTGCCGTTAGCCTGAACCTCTTCCTTCTCCTCAGCAGCCGCTGGAGATGCATCACCATTCACCTTCACATGGCCATTTTCCTAAAGCAAGACACAGATCATCAGACAATCATTATTAAGCCTGGCTTAACATGAGCACCACCAAGTCAGGACACAGAGCAAGCTGCACATACAAAAACAATTCTATGCACTGATAGTGGATTGCTTCCATTTTCTCCACATGACATGATGATCAAAGACCATTACGGGTAAAAAATAATAATAATTCATATGCGAAGCCTCGATGCCCGAGGCGCATTACACTGCCACAACCACCAGTGGGCGCCGTTGTCCATCAACGCTTCGAAAGAACCGACGCGCCAAAAAAAAAAAAGCAGATCCCAACTGATTAGCATGTAATTATTGAACCTCATCACGCACGCCACAACAAACCTGTACAAAACACAGACTGTATAAATGGCCATTACAACCGTTTTAATTGCTCGTATGTGGTTTCTACCAGTGGAAGAGTTCCACAACGACACTGAAGCGTCTATCGAGCATCTATGACTAAAGGCGTGGCGAGCCATTGTTACTCCAACAATCAACCCCGCTTCCCCCTGAAAGAGCATTTTCAAGACGGCAAACACATAAATGCTCATACAAACTAAATTATTCTCCACATCTCCTAGTTTGTTTAAATAAATCATCTTTAATTCGAATCTTCAATTCTCCCCCCAAAAAAAAAAATAATCCAACGCTCCTCAATTCTAAACAAAGGCTTCTCCGGAAAAGCGACGCCAAAATTGGTTTTCAAATCTAAAGTTGTAAGCTATAAACATTTGAGCGAAATTAAACCTATTTTACAGTCAATTCAATACTCGCCGTGAAAACTGACAAAGCCTCTGGGCTGCAAAAAAAATAGTTTTAATTTGTGTGGTTGTTGGATGCTGGGCTCCAGCAGAACTCCGCGTGAGTATTCGTATAACAAACACCAAACATATATTACTTCTCTCATTAAATGGCCGGGTTTACCTGTCCGTTAGCTTTGGAGGGTGAAGCTGCAGCCTCTCCAGGTGTTTCTGCAGCCGTTTCTCCTTTGCCAGCTGTCTTGGAGAATTGCGCTCCCATGCTTTCACTCCAACAAAGAGCTCCACAGACCCCAATACAGAACAAAGAGCAACAAACTTCTTCCTTAGAGAAAAAAAACACCTGAGCGCACTAAAAGTAGCGAGCAAATCCAGTCTCGGATAAGCAAAGTGTAGGGGGGAAAAAAACCTGGAAAGTGCAAGTATTTTTTTTTATTCCCAAATTTGTGCCCGTGACAATGTAGGCAGCACAGAAAATGGAGAAATTTCCCTGGTTACTAATGAGATGCGGAGTCCAACGCCCAACTGCACCGATGAATGGGCATTCCACGCGATGACGTCATACACAGCAGTCGTCGTCGCCCAATCAGAATAGACTCTCAGAGAGCGAGGGCGCAAATTAAATCTAAACCAGCCAATCATAGCCGACCGTCTGAACGTGGGCGCGTCTTAAAAGTCTGAAGCAAACAATAGAAAGACACAGATTGTTGTAAAAGCCCTCAACAGAATAATTTTAAAATAATTCATATTTTCCAAATCGCGTGTCATATGAAGGGTGATGTTGAGCTTATCCCAGCATCTCACATAGGGTTTCATCATGAGGTTTATTTAAAAAAAATATTTTGACATAAATATTGAAGCAACTTTTTCATACTCTCAGTTTTTGTGGGATAGGTATATATTTATTTTATGTATCTGGATAATTGGACAATCACTTCCCTCTCATTTATGTGACTGTCAAATCTAATCTCCAGCACAAACTCTCTGTAGGCTTGCTGTAGCCTAACATTTAAACTTTCTAAATGACAGAAATCTAGAAAGATAAAGAGAAAACATTTCAGCAAAAGCAAAGTAAAAGGTAGGCCTATTTAAGAAATCACTAGCCCAAAATAATGTAATCTGTGCATAACGTAACCACTTGTGGACGGGCCCTATATCACGGTCTCTTAGGGGCCTCCAAAATTTCCAGTATGCCATGGCCTATAAAGTTACAGAACAACATCCTTGTGTGTGCAGAATCTTTTCAACAATGGATCTTTTGGATCTCCCATTATAAATAATGTAGATGTCTTTCAACAAGTGTTCTTTTTGTTCATTTGTAAATTCACACACTGTTGTTCATGTAAATCATTTGCATGTGTGACAACACATGCAAAAAGGCGGGCAGTCAATCACCTATATGTAGTTCAGTCTTTTTCACCAGTTTTGATGGCATGTTAATGGAGCATAGATAACACTTCACTTGAGATCTTGCTAGTTGGTTTTTTATAGTATATTCAAAAACAGTGAATGGAAACTATAATTTCTTTTCCCATTGGACAGAGAAGAACCGGGAGTGGTACAGTTTCCATGGTGATGCCTCAGACAGGGCTAGAGAAATAAAGAAGACAGAATTAGAGAGAAAGAGAAATGCATGTACTGTACTGTGTGAACTGGGTTGAAATTTCATAGGAAATTTTTGACTCACATTTTGCTGTGGATGCTCAAGCGCAACTGATTCTCATTTGGTGCCACTTGCACCGTTATCTGAACCAGTCACTATGAATGAACTAAACATCAACTATCGAAGACTTTTTAAACAAGATTTAACAAGGTTTGTTATGCGCTAGGCCTACTAGGCATGTTAGATCTTTCACCAGAAAAATGTGAAAAGTGTCCATATTAATAGTCTAAGATATGCACCCTTCAAAGGTGTTTCTCAACAGGGAATCTTGCTTTATTAATATTTATTATAGATGTCTTAACCAAACTTAAACACCATAAGGGCAGATCCCTCGAGCGCAGCTTCGTCACTTTGAAATGACGCTTGAGTGATCAAGAATATTCCATTGTACAAATAAGCATCTCTTTGATTCCTCCATCGTCATTTTCTTTTCTTGCATCCTTCCCTCGCATCCTAAGGTCCCATTCCCCCAGTGTGGAAAAGGACATTTATATTGTGTTTCAGAAGTGCAAGAAAAGTTAAAAGATTTGCCACAATGGGGTAAAACAAAGGTAAACATTGGCAGTGTTTTTATGTGATTTGGAATGTTTGGGTTTTAATCGATAAGACAAACTTGCGGAGATTTTTCTCGACAGATAAGCTAAACTTAAAGTAAAAAGTATTTCTAATATTTTGGACCTTTTATTAAAAGTAGCCTCTGTATTTGTGATATTTGAGTTGGCGCATACTTAATTTTTGTTCTGCTAGATAACATAATAGTGCAGAAACTATGTACCCTATCTTTAAAAGTGCTATATGTAATTTTTTGACTGTACTAAAGCATAAAAATGCCATAAAATGTTTGCATATATTTAGGAAACATGCTAAGTTCATGTTTATTTCTCAAAAAAACTATGACACAGACAGTTATTCTACTTTGAAATGTGTATTCCGTGCCCACTCCATTGAGTTTCACATGCATGAGCTACACTCTAGAGCTACCACCTGCCTTAGATGATCTGGTTGATCTTGAGACCAGAGTGGCCATTCGTCTTCAGCATTGAGACCAACGTTTTATGCAAGGATTCATACGTAAATAATGACACATCAGGCCTGTGCTTCAGAGACTGCTAGAGAATCGGCTTTTAGTCAAGGAGGAGAAATGTGTTTTTCATGCACAGCACAGTCCGTTACCTTCTTATATACAGGTACATCTCAAAAAATTAGAATATCATGAAAAAGGTCAATATTTTTTGTCACTCATTTCAGAAAGTGAAACCCATATATTATATAGATTCATTACACATGTCTACCTCACTATGTGGGAAGATTTGCATAATGCCGCCCAAATGTTCACGCAAAGAAAGAAGGCGTAACTTTTATTCTCGCTGTAGTATTGTTGGCACTGCAGCAATGTCGTGAAGACGCTGTGTGCTTCGTTGTGAAAGCGAAACTGCTTTGTTTGGTCTTCCAAAAGAGGACGATATCCGCTTCGTCATACCTAGAGCTGATCCGTGCTGGTCGCTGAGGGAATACATCAACTTTAACCGTGGACGAAGCGGAGTCCAGCCCGGGGTTGTTACATGTGGTTGCCGCTTATTCGTCGGATCCGCCGGGCGCGCCGTTCTCAACCCCGCCGCCTCAGCTCACTCTATCCCGGCCTCAGCGCACGCTAAGCCGGGGCTTCCCCTCACGCCAGGCCGCTGTGTTTTTCGTTGTGAAAGTGAAGCTACTTTGTTTGGTCTTCCAAAAAAGGACATGACTACAAATCAGAGGTTAAGTTGTATTTACAACACTGTTCCAGAACAGTTTAACCCAAATATCCAGATGTGTGCAGCACATTTTATGGAGGACTGTTTACTGATCCTGGGAGAGTAACGTTAGACTAAAATGCCGGCAGTTCTGACTCACCGTCTGTAAGTACGTTTTCATTTAAAGGATTTGCCACTGATGATTCAAACGCGAGTTTTGGGAAGTGTAGAGTAGCACTTGTTGTTTGTCATTTCTCTGATCACAAATGCAGAAAGAGTTTTATGTTTACGCGGCGCGATGCAATGCAACGACAGTATAAGTCATTATAATTAGTAATTATGTCCCCACTGGATGCAACAAATGCCTCGTTTATAATGGGTTTTAATGTTTTTGTCTGACACGGCATCACAGTATGGTAGGGGCGTAACATTTGCGTCACACACTTGAGGAATTCGGCCAATCACAACGCATTGGATAGCTGGCCAATCACAGCACACCTTGCTTTTTCAGACCGATGAGCTTTGTAAAAATTGACGCGTTTCGAAATGCGGGGCATAGAGAAGAAACAATAATGTACAGTATGTGGAAAATAATGTGTTTTTTTACTTTAAACCGCATAAACACATTTCATTACACCAAATACACAAAATAATGTTATTTTTAGAAGCATCATATGACCCCTTTAATGTTTGAATAAATGAGTAATCCTATGCGATTAACAAAGATACTTAGAAAAGCTGTTGGTGAAATTAAATCAACCAGATACTTAACCAACAATCGGGTGATAGTATTTTGTCTGAACAAAAAACAACAAGAAATGTTGAATAAAATGAAGGAGTTAGGGGGATTGGGAGTTAAGTGTCATATGCCTGGCGAGGTGAGTGGCATTAAAGGAGTGATTTCTGGAGTTCCAATTTCATTATCAGATGAGACAATAAGAAATCAGTTAATGAGAGAAAAGGTAATAGAAGTGAAAAGATTGACATCAAACAGAAACGGGAAAAGAGAGCCAAGTAGGCTACAACAGTGATGATAACAGTGAATGGGAGACTGCTTCCAGAAAATGTTAAAACGGGATATGTGTGCTACACAGTTAGACTTTTTATAAAACCTGCATTAAGATGTTTCAATTGCCAAAGGTTGGGTCATGTAGCAGAAGTATGCAAGGGAAAGAAACAATGTTGTAAATGTGGAGGTGAACACGGTTATGGAGAATGTGTGGATTTAGTTGAACCTAAGTGTTGCAACTGTGGATGCCCGCATAGTGCAGCGTATTTAGGATGTGTAGCGCAAAAACAAGCCGTGGAAGCAGTGAAGTACAAGAGCATAATGTTTCATATGCACAAGCAGTAAAGAAGGTTCAAAATGAGCAAGAAAATAGAAGGTCTGATGCAACTGAAACACCAAACAAGGGAACAGAGAAGTATAAAACACATATAGATGCAAGTATGCTTATGGTCAGCAAAGTAAGCTTCATTGCATTTATTGCTGAAGTCATCAACTGTACAGCACAAACAAACAAACGAACAGAAACAAAGAAACTGAAAATCATTATATCTGCAGCAGCTCGTCAGCTGGGTATAACACAGGTAACAGTTGAGAAAATTCAGACTCTAGGGCAATCTGAGAATAATGCAAGCTCTCAGGAAATCCCAGACAGACAAAGGTTAAAGGGGTGGTTCACTTGTTTTTTTTTCTAGCCTTGAAAAAATGGTGTGCAGTCTAACATGTGTTAATGCTTGGTTTAAAAAAAAAAAAGCATTATTTTTCACACAATTAACCTTTATTCCACACCGCTCTGTCCCTTCTCTGAGAAACGGGCTTATCTTTTCCTGTTTTTAAGAACCCCCGCCCACAGAAATAGGTGATGGGCTCTGATTGGTTAGCTAGCCCAGTGTGTTGTGATTGGCTAAACCACCTCTAGTGCGCATCTAAGCGTCCCGCCCCTCACCTCAGCAGCACGTGCTCTGGTTGTATTGTAAACAACGGCGTCATTAATATCGTTTATCAGTTT